ATCTGTAACTGACTTTGATCAATTGATAACTCACTATCTTAGGACCAGCCTGGACTGATTTTTTTTTTTTTTTTTTTTTGAGACAGAGTCTCGCTCTGTCACCCAGGCTGGAGTGCAGTGGTGCAATCTTGGCTCACTGCAACCTTTACCTCCTGGGTTCGAGCAATTCCTGCCTCAGCCTCCCAAGCAGCTGGGACTACAGGCATGTGCCACCATGCCCTGCTAATTTTTTTTAGTAGAGACGGGGTTTTACCATATTGGTCAGGCTGGTCTCGAACCCCTGACCTAGTGATCTGCCCACCTCGGCCTCCCAAAGTGCTGGATTACAGGCGTGAGCCACTGTGCCTGGCTAGACTGATTTTTTCAAAGGGTTAATTCTTTTGATCTTTGCATCGTTTATTGTGCCCAGGGTGGCCAATTTGTATTTATGAAATTATTCTGAGTTCCTCTTGTGAACTAAGCAAGGGACAGTAATAAGAAGATCAATTTTATTTTATTTTTTCTTTTGATATGGAGTCTTGCTCTATTGCCCAGGCTGAGGTGCACTGGTGCGATCTCAGCTCTGCCTCCCAGGTTGAAGCGATTCTCCTGTCTCAGCCTCCTGAGTAGCTGGGATTACAGGCACGAGCCACCATGCCCAGCTAATTTTTGTATTTGTAGTAGAGATGGGGTTTCACCATGTTGGTCAGATTGGTCTTGAACTCGTGACCTCGTGATCTGCCCTCCTTGGCCTCCCAAAGTGCTGGGATTACAGGCGTGAGCCACCGTGCCCAGCCAACATCAATTTTAAAGCTTCTCTCAAATTCTTCAAAAGAACACCCGCACCAGAGAGAGTTGGTTTTCTAAAGGTTTTGTTGCCAAAGCAAATGTTCCAAAAGTTTGAATGTGAGAGGCATAGTCCAGATGAAGAAAACCCTGGCTGGCCACAGCTGATCATCGCCATCACCTAGGAACAAACTGCAAATCCAATTTTGATCACCGATTGTCTCTAAGTCCCTCCCCAAAATCAATTTCAAGGCCCAAATATCTTATGATTAAAAAGAGTCACTTTCCTCCTATATTTGAAGTGGAAAGAAGAAAAAAAGAGTCTCAGTCAGCCAAGCATAGGTGGCTCACACCTGTAATCCCAGCACTTTGGGAGGCTGAGGTGGATGGTACCACTTGAGCTCAGTTTAAGACTAGCCTGTGCAACCTGGCAAAACCCCGTCTCTACTAAAAAATATAAAAAATTAGCCAAGCATGGTGTTGCACAACTATAGTCCTAGCTACTCTACTTGAGAGGCTGATGTGGGAGAATCACCTAAGCCTGGGAGGTTGAGGCTACAGTAAGCTGCGATTGTACCACTGTGCTCCAGCCTGGGCAACAAGAGTAAGACCTAGTCTGGGGCACGGGATGGGGGGGGGGGGGAGTCCCCGGGTAACACAATGGCTCCTGCTTATAATACCCCCACCCTGGGGGGGCAAGGGAGGAGGATCACGCCACAATCATGCCACTGCACTTCCGTGGGGGACAGGGAGAGACCCTGTTTTAAAGAAAAAAAAAAAAAAAAAAAGAGTCCCAAGTCAAGTGTCCGGGACACATTTGTAAATGATACTGGAAAGCAATAGTTATTGCTCTCAAGGAGCCTACAATCTGATAGTTTTATTAGAAAGTATTTGTCTTTGACAAGCACAGTGAATCCAATTTTACAGAGGAGGAAACTGAGGCTCCAGAGGATAACTGCCTTACCCAAGATCACTCTTCGGAACAGAGAGAATCAAGACCCACACCAAGGCCTTTTAACGAGACAGCAAATGCTGTTGCAGCAGTTTCAACAAAGACGTAGAACTTCAGGAGGAAGGCATTCTAGTTGGGGGAACAGAATAAGAATTTCGTAGCTAACGTAGCATGTGAAATAGGGCCGTGGAGGATGGGCAGGATTTGCTAGCAAGCTGTTCAATTTGGCTGGAGAGCTGATGTCCTTCACAGAGCTGGAGGTCAAAGGGCAGAAAGGGGCACCTGAGACCAGATTAGAGAGGACTGATCTGGGCTTCTGCTCCAGGTAATGTGCCATGCTTATAATGCTGCATCCCTTTTAGGAGTGGAGGGTGAGGGTTACCCAGGAAAGAGAGAGCACACTGTCTTCATCACCAGAGTGATTCTTTGTTCTGGGTAAGAGAACAAACACTGGAGGAATACAAAGGCCTATTCAGCAAGTCCTTTTTCCTCTGCCCACTGGCTCAAATACAAAAAATCTTATTTTCCCCTTCATTACTTATGTTAGTAAAATTTCTGATCACAGCATCAGTCAGAGTGGGAGAAATGGGGAAAGATCTCCCATAGTCATTCCAATTCCAGATGGTTGTTCTTAATCACTCCCAGGTCAAAAGATTAACCATTCCCAATCTTCTCAGGAAAAGCCATTTTCATGCTTAATTTCTACCCAGGCTTCACTATGTTCCAAGTCCCTCAAGTTAAAGCTTATCAAAATTACAGCCAGGGCCGGGTGGTGGCTCACACCCGTAATCTCAGTACTTTGGGAGGCTGAAGCGAGTGGATCACCTGAGGTCGGGAGTTCAAGACCTGCCTGACCAACCTAGTGAAACCCTGTCTCTACTAAAAATACACAAATTAGCTGGGTGAAGTAGCGGGCGTCTGTAATCCCAGTTACTTGGGAGGCTGAGGCAGGAGAAATGCTTGAACCAGGAGGCGGAAGTTGTAGTGAGCCGAGATTGTGATGCTGCACTCCAGCCTGGATGACAGAGCAAGACTCTGTCTCAAAAACAAACAAACAACAACAAAAAAATTATAGCCAGGAGAAATATAGTCTATGTCTCAAAACTGCATACATTTTTTTTGGATGACTACAGGGTTTAAAAACAAGGCAGTCTAGTAAGGTTATTTCATCATCTGTACATACTGAACATTAAGAAAAGCAAAAATCCCCCCAAAATCTATTTCAGACCTTACACAGGACTAGTAGCCTATAATTCCATGATAGAACTCTACTGGTGCTCCGACTGAAGCCAGATGAGCTGCTATTACTGGTATGAATTTTAAAAGCAGACACTCTCTCTCCCAATCTGTTTGGCTTCAAGGCTCCACCCCAATCCACTCAGGTGCACTGAAAGCTTTCAGATATGAGGAAGTTAATATTTAAAATAATAATACAATTATTTCCAGTTAAGGTTTACAGACCTTGAAAAGGCTTCCAGACATTTTTTTGCAAGAGACACCAAACCTCTGACCTATCCCAAATGTCACAGAAGAGGCATTCACTGGCCATCAGCCTTGGATACTTAACTTGAGATGAAAATATCTGAAAGATAAAGCTACCTAATAATGTGAAGCCTGGCTGCGTGAGGTGACTCACACCTGTAATCCCCCACACAAGGTGGGAGGATCGCCTGAGGTCAAGAGTTTGAGATCAGCCTGGCCAACATGGCGAAACCTCATCTCTATGGAAAATACAAAAATTAGCCGGGCACGGTGGTCGGCGCCTGTAATCCCAGCTACTTGGGAGGCTGAAGCACCAGAATTGCTTGAACCCAGGAGGTGGAGATTGCAGTAAACTGAGATTGCACCACTACACTCCAGCCTGGGAAACAAAGGTTGTCTCAAAAAAAAAAAAAAAAAAAAAAAGAAGCCTTCCTATTTAAGGTCCTGATCTAAAACTCGGCAGGGCCAGGAGTGGTGCTCACAATAATCCCAGTGCTTTCGGAGGCCAAGGTGGAAGGACTGCTTGAGGCCAGGAGTTCAAGGCTGCAGTGAGCTATGATGGTGACACTGCCCCCATGCCTGGGCAACAAAGCAAGAACCTGTCTCTAAAATAAATAAATTTTTAAAAAACTCTAAGGAAACAGAAAAGCTATATTTCTCTAAGGCACACAATGGTTATTATTATTTCTTTCCTTTTTTTTTGGAGACAGGATCTTGCTCTGTTACCCAGGCTGGAGTACACTGGCATGATTCCAGCTCACAGCAAACTCAACCTCAACAATTAAAAAAAAAAAAAAAAAAACACCAAAATGTTTTTAAGACAGGGTTTCGCCATGTTGCCCAGGCTAGTCTCAAACTCCTGGGCTCAAAGGATCCTCCCTCCGTGCCACTGCCCTTCTCCTGACTCTTAGTCTAGTACTGCATCAACATCACCTATCCCCTTCTGAGAACTACATAGAAGTCGAAGGAGAGTTTTTTTCTAGTCCACGGAACCCCCTCTCCCCTGATTCACTACTTCCTATTGCGGCCACGCCTATGTGAGGAGCGTTAATAAGCACTCTCAACCTGATTTGGTTTAATGAGAGCCACAGTGTGAACTGCCCCACTCCAGTTTTAAAAGAGGAAACTACAGACACACAAATAGTGAGGTGCTCTTTTCCAAAGCCCAAGGAGTCAGCAGGACACCAAGTTCCAGGCCCCATCCTGTCGCTGGCTAATAGTGACAAGGGGAAATTCAATACCACCCTGTGAGCCTCAGTGTCCTGAGGTGTAAAAAGGAGTTGCTGAGAAGTAACGTGCCCTCTTTAGAAGAGCAAGCCTGACTTATGTCAAGTGTTCAAGGCAGTTTCCCTGGGTGCTTGAGGAAGTTTGTGTCTCTTAAACCTCTGCTTCCACCTCCACCCTCAGGTGAATGCGACGAGGAAATAAAGTGGTTGGAGCTCCCAAATTTTAGAGTTCATGCGCATGTAGCAGTATGTTTTTCAAAAGCAAGTAGTGTCCCTATCCCACTCTACCCACTTTCCTCCCTCCTCCTGGTGCCACATCTACACAGAGAAATTAGGTAACCACAGATGAATAAGCTCACAACAGGTCAAGCAGCCCCCACTGCCACCCTCTCCCAGACCACAGGAAAGACAGCGTGGCCGGCAGAAACAGGACAAATGAGGGACCTCTGAGCTCTCCATCGCTAGGCCAATTTCCTCAGGCCCCGGGCTGGAGCCGCCGCTGCGCCCGCCGCCCCCCCCGGCTCTCGGCCCCACCGCGTCCCCACAGGGCATCCCGGTGGCCGGCGACCGCTCACCTGCGCCCGACACAGTAGCAGCAGGAGGAGGCCGAGGACCAGGCCGCGCGCATTCATGTTGTGGCCGCGCGAGGCTGCGGACACCGGCGGCGTTCGGCTGGCTGGGCTACGCGGCGGCCGCTCTACTTCCCCGGGCTGTTTCAGCACCCCGCGCGGGAGGAGCGGAGGAGCAGGAGCAGGCGCGGACAGCGACAGCAGGCTGCGCGCGCAGATCAGGAAGGAAAAAGGCGTCGCCAGCTTCGCCCCTTCTGGGAGGTGCGGCTGCCCGGCCCTTCGGTGCCCGAGCTGGGGCGGGGCCTACGAGGGGGCGGGGCTAGGCCCGCTGCGCTCCCGAGGCTCCCCTTTTCCTCAGCCCTTGAGGACCCCAGGCGCCACGCGCGGGGCTTTTGGAGTCTGGCTCGGCCCGGGAGAATATCTGCGGGGTTGTGCCAACAGTTTCTGGTCGTGATGCTTTCCCTTTTCGTCTCTGGGTTGGAGTGGGCGGGCGAGGTTGCAGCGAAGGGTAGTGTTCTGGGCGACTTCCGGGTAAGGTCCCGCCCGGCCGCGGAGTCTGTGTTTATTTCGTCTCCGACAAGTACGCAGAGCGACTTCTCCTCCCAGTCCACTCACCCGAAAGGAATCCGAGCCCCGGCACTTTCTAGCAGAGCCCAGGGCAGTGACGCACAGTGGCCTGACCTTGTGATGATCCAAGAGCGTGGCGGGGCGGAGCGCGGGTGGGCGGTGGCCTCGCGACCAGGCCTGGGAAAGTGCGGGAGCCGCGCCGCCTGCTGGCCCAGCCGCGCAGCGCAAGCCCTTGGGCGCGAGGAAACCCAGACGTGGGGACCAGGGTCTATTTTAAGTTCTACACGAAGGCAGGTAAAGGAGACGCATCGTCATTTTTGAGCCATGCATTTAATATATGTGTTTATCTTAAACTCTAGTTGTGTTTCTGGTAACATTTTCCCTCAAATTTCAAGTATTCAGACCACTCAAAAGCACCCGTCATTTCCATTTTGAAGTTAAGAAAATAGGCCGGGCGCCGTGGCTCACGCCTGTAATCCCAGCATTTTGGGAGGCCGAGGCGAGTGGATCACGAGGTCAAGAGATCAAGACCGTCGTGATCAACAAGGTGAAACCTCGTCTCTACTAAAAATACAAAAATTAGCTGAGCATGGTGGCGCGCGCCTGTAGTCCTAGCTACTCGGGAGGCTGAGGCAGGAGAATTGCTTGAACCCAGGAGGCGGAGGTTGCGGTGAGCCGAGATCGCGCCATTGCACTCCAGCCTGGGTAACAAGAGCAAAACTCCGTCTCAAAAAAAAAAAAAAAAAAGAAAAGAAAAGAATAGAAAATGGAGGTAAGGATCTCTTTCCCAACAGTGGAAGCAAATTTGCAATGAAAAGACTAAACGTTCATCTGGAGCAGTGACCGAACCCCGCCCCAAGGAGGCCCCTGTTGCAGGTGACCTTCCCATCCTTACCGTATAAAGTGCTGTTTCACTTTCTGTCTTGCCTCCTCACCTCCTCAGCCTGAGATGTCCATCTGGCTGGCCTAGCAGTTAAACTATGGGGATTTCCTCAGGTCTCCTCCACGCTGACCTCGTGGTCCTTATTCAGCTGTGTGTTCTCGCTTCCCACTCCCCAGGCTCCAGCTCCTGGTGCCCCCACTGATGATCAAGTCCTGTGTATGCCTTCATGCAGGGGGTCTCCAAGGGTGGTCCCTAGACCAGCAGCAGGAGCATCTCCTTGGAACTTGTTAAAAATGTAAATTCTCAGCCTGGGCAACGTAACAAGACTCCCTCTATACAAAAAATTTTTTAAAAAGTTAGCTGGGCATGGCGGCACACACCTGTAGTCCCAGCTACTAGGGAGGCTGAGGCAGGAGGATTCCTTGAGCCCAGGAGGCTGCAGTGAGCTATGATTGTGCTGCTGCATTCCAGCCTGGGTGATAGAGCAAGACCCAGTGTCTTCTTTTTCTTTTTGAGTCAGGAGTTTCACCGTGTTGGTCAGGCTGGTCTTGAACTCCGGACCTCAGGTGATCCACCCGTCTAGGCCTCCCAAAGTGCTGGGATTACAAGCATGAGCCACCACGCCCAGCTGACCCAGTCTCAAAGAAGGAGATAAAGACAGAGAGAGAGAGAGAAAGAAGAAAATGTTATATTTCTAAGTTTATGAATTACTTTGGAGGTTCTAAGTTTACATAACCCTCCATGAGGAAGAATAATTCTGGTTCCCGTGCCTTGCTTCAGGGGTGCCAGAGGGCTGGAGATAGGAGGGCAGGAGAAAGTTATGGATAGACTGTTTCTGAGGCTGCTTCTGAGACCTTCCAGTCTTTAGTTCAAAGTACTCAGCATGCCAAAGCCTCCTAATTTGGGATATCATTTTCTGAGTTCTAGTGGCTGAGATCTGGAGACTTTTTTGTTTGTTGAATGAATATTCGGCTGGGCGTGGTGGCTCAGGCCTGTAATCCCAGCACTTTGGGAGGCCGAGGTGGGTGGATCACTTGGGGTCAGGAGTCCGAAACCAGCCAGTCCAACATGGTGAAACCCTATCTCTACTTAAAATACAAAATTAGCCGGGCATGGTGGTACATGCCTGTAATCCCAGCTACTCGGGAGGCTAAAGTAGGAGAATCGCTTGAACCTGGGAGGCGGAGGTTGTAGTGAGCCAAGATCGTAACACTGCACTCCAGCCTGGGCAACGAGCAAAACTCCATCTCAAAAAAAAAAAAAAAAAAAAGAATATTCAATACCATCTTCATAAGCAGTATTCAATGTTGACCTCAGAGCAGTAAAGTAGAAAACAGGGGAAAATGAAATTATTAGACGCTTGCATCTTTATAAATGTGCAGAAACATCTTCCAGAAAACTTCTGTGTAGTGGAAAACATTTATATGTGAATATAATATATAAACTTTTTAAACAAGTGGGAATATACAGTACACAGTTTTCACCTGGCTTCTTCGCTTTTAGCAGTATGCTTTCCTACCTCACTCCTTTTAACATCTGTAAAGGATTTTATTATGTGTATGCAACACTTCTGAAGCCATACTCAGAGCAGTGTCTAATTCAATGAAATAGAAATCACCAACCAACAAATATTTCAAAATAACTCAATTCCTTTACATGCATTCCTAGTAATATAAAGGGTTTGTGTGGTCCCACCAATACATTGTAAACATACCTTTCCTTTTTTTTTTTGAGACACAGTCTTGCTCTGTCGCCGAGGGTGGAGTGCAGTGACATGATCTTAGCTCACTGCAACTTCCATATCCCAGGCTCCAGCAATTCTCATGCTTTAGCTCCCAAGTAGCTGGATTACAGGTGTGTGCTCCCACACCCAGCTAATTTATTTGGATTTCATTAGAGATGGGATTTCACCATGTTGGCCAGGCTGGTCTTGAACTCTCGGCCTCAAGCAATCTGCCCGCCTCAGACTCCAGAAGTGCTGGGATTATAGGCATGAGCCACTGCTCCCCACCCGCCTTTCCTTTTCTGTGTATTTCCTCATATTCCTGAGCTTTCATGCAGTCCACAAAGCCTCGAATTTCTGTGCCTTTTGCTTTCCCAATCATGCTGCATCACCAAAGTCTAAATACGTTTTAATATTTCCCTTACAGAAGGAGAAGAGAAAGTTGACCCAAGACTAAATTATCTAGCTGGTAGATAGAAGGGGAAGGTTGGAAATACTTAGGTTAATAATTTTTGTTCCACTATGTAACTTAATCTCTTGTTGGGCATTTAGTTTGTCATTTGTTACTGGAAACGATGCAGTGAACATCCTTGTATCTTTCAAAAAATTTATTTTTTTTCTAGGACGCAGTCTCACTCTGTTGCCAAGTCTGGAGTGCAGTGGCATGATCATGGCTCGTGGCAGCCTCTACCTGCTGGGCTCAAGCGATCCTCCCACCTGTGCACCAGTAGTCCTTAGTAATTTTTGTATTTTTTGTAGAGAGGAGGTCTTGCCATGTTGCCCAGACGGGTCTCAAACTCCTGGGCTTAAGCAGTCTGCCTGCCTCAGCCTCCTAAAGTGCTGGGATTACAGCCATCACACCTGGCCCGTCCTTGGATATAAATTTTTGCAATCATGTACAAATAGAACTTTGGAAATACTTTTACATTGTTGGATCAAAGGAAATGTGCATTTAAGTTTTGATTATTGTCGAATTGCCCTCCAAAGAAATTGCAGCCAGCAATGTATGGAAGTGCCTAAATGGAATCTGTGATTTTATTTATTTTAATTGGTTTATTATTTTTAAAAATATTGGGGCCAGACGAGGTGGCTCACGCCTATAATCTCAGCAGTTTGGGATGCCAAAGTGGGTGGATCACCAGAGGTCAGGAGTTCAAGACCAGCCTGGCCAACATAGTAAAATTGTCTCTATTAAAAATGCAAAAATTAGTTCAGGTGCGGTGGCTCATACCCGTAATCCCAGCACTTTGGGAGGCTGAGGCAGGCAGATCACGAGGTCAGGAGATCGAGACCATCCTGGCCAACACGGTGAAACCCCCTCTCTACTAAAAATACAAAAATTTGCTGGGCATGGTGGCACGTGCCTGTAATCCCAGCTACTTGGGAGGCTGAGGCAGGAGAATCACTTGAACCAGGGAGATGGAGGTTGCAGTGAGCTGTGATGGCACCACTGCACTCCAGCCTGGCTGCAGAGTGAGACTCCGTCTCAAAAAAAAAAAAAAAAAAAAATCAGCTGGGCATGGTGGTGCACACCTGTAGTCCCAGCTACTCCAGAGGCTGAGGCAGGAGAATTGTTTGAACCCAGGAGGTGGAGGTTGCTGTGAGCCGAGGTCGCTCCACTGTACTCTAACCTAGGCTACAGCAAGACTCCGTCTCAAAAATAAAATAAAATAAATAAAATAAAATAAAATGGATGCTTTGATTTGTATTTCTTTATAAGTGGGATTAAGAATCTTTTCACACATTTATAAGTAATTTTATTTCTTTTTCTGTGCTTTTTTCTTTTGAGACAGAGTCTCACTCTGTCGCCCAGGTTGTAGTCTACTGGCATGATCACAGCTCACTGAAGCCTTGATCCCCCTGGCTCAAGTGACCCTCCTGCCTCAGCCTCCAAAGTGCTGGGATAACAGTTATGAACCACCATGCCAAGCCAGTAAAATTCATTCCTAAAAATCCTTTGATTTATTCTAAAAAGGTTTTTTTTTTTTTTTTGCTGATCTGCAATCTTCAAAGTAGGTAGTGCTTCAAATAGACTGAGAAAAAAAGGATACCTACTTACCCAACAGATTGCAATCTTGCATAGTTCCTAACCTGAAGCCTAAAGTTCAATAACAGAAAGTGTGATAAAAC